TGGATGACAAATATGGCAGACATCTTGGTAGATACGTCTGGATGGTGACCAATGGTGACCAAAGTCTGAATGCCCAAAGAATCATGGTAAAACAAAATCCTTGGTTTGAGGCCATGGCAAAGTCCCTGTCCGGAATCTACCCTCTGGTTATTTAAGAGTTTGCGGGCTGGAAAAAAAAACACAATGACTGTAAGTTCGGTAAGTTATATTTTTATCATCTCTAAACGGGTCATTTACCATAACTATGTTACAAAAACAGAATGTAACTCTGTCCGGAATATAATATGTATATATATAACTTTCAAAAATGAATGATCACTGTAAGAGAAGGAGCGAAATCCGATCCAGTTCCTACATGTTCCTACCGGATTTATATTTACTATCGGGATGATGTTTCTGAAGATCTGGATTGATTTGCATGTAAAAGGTTCCTGGTTTTTAGTCCTTTGACCCAAAGATATGTTTTTCAGATAGTGACAGTGACATGTTCGAATAGTGGCTGGAGGAAGGCCAAGCGCCAGAAGGTTCAGGGAGATGCAGGGCTACGAGGTAGTGGCAGTGACCACTCGCGCTGGCAAAACACAAACAGGTCCGCCGCAAAAAGAAAAACAAACATGTCCTGCAATGATCCTGCTGGGATTGGATGTGTGAACCGCTGTGAACCCAAGAAATACAAGTTTGCCACATACGAAATTTGCGACTCAGCTGATACATATCGGGGGAATAAAGCGCAACTCTGGTAATGAAAAACAGTTTGCTATGGAAAACAGATGAACCTATATAGTCCATGTAATTTGATGTTTTTTCTAAGATTTATCTGTTTAAAATTGTGATTTCCCATGTTTTTGTCCACAACTATGCCAAATGGCTTCAATTACTTTAGTAAGTCCTTAAGTTGATGAAACACCCTGGTCAACTGTTTGGTTATTGGGGATGGTTATCAAAACATATTCAAAGTTAACATTACTGTTGAAAGAAAAACAATTGCGGGAAGGATGACCATACCCCATATGCTGCATTATATTTATTTAATCTTTTGAAGTTGGCACAGATGAAAAGTTGGTGTTTGTTTAACTGTGGCTCGATGATGCTCCACAAATTAAAGTACTCACAGTCATTAGTGGCTTTCAACCATTTTAGATTCCTCCAAGAATCATCCTCTGCCCGGATCCCTGAATTCAATGGTTTGCAACTGACGTTGGCATGTCCCATTTCTAGGCAGCTTGGCGTTTTCTCATCCTACTTACTTGCCAGGAATGATCAAAAATTGACTTCATAAAGTTGGGATGGTTGGATCAGCCACCAGTATGTCCCACACCTCAAAGACCTCAATGTAAGTCCCCAATGTCATGCCCCCATGGCTTAGTTTCACCCATCCCACTACCCACCATAGCTCTCTGAACCCATCCAGATTTAATGAAACATGCACATGGAATTCATAGCTAGCCTTAGCATATATATATATATATGTTTGTATGTTTGTATGTATGTATGCATGCATGCATGTATGTATGTATGTATGTATGTATGTATGCATACACCTATTACAGCCACATAATGCGCGGTGAATCCCCGTTCTACTACTTCAAGCCATTTCTTCACAATAAAACCTCCGCACCTGTTCCTAAAAGCACCATTTGTGTGGGTTAAATGTCCCATTGTTAATGGTTAAACCTCCCATTTGTATCCATTGATATCGTGGATGATCAGGTCCTGTGGCACACCCTGCCGCTATGTCAAGCGCAAGGGCGGTTGTCGCGATGGGTGGCTTGACAAAGATCATTGAAATATGATGGGGGTATCATGGTGTATCAGTGCAGTCATGCTCTATGCTTTCACGTATCAGTGTATATATACACAGTAATTTAAACATTTTTTTGTACCTATATCTATATCTATATATATATATACACATGTGTGTGTAACATCTGAATAGATGTAAAACTTCTTCTCTCTCTTTTTCTTCCTTTGTCCTCTCCCTTTCTAATTCTAAATTAAATTTAATGCAGGGGGCCAGCGCATGGCATCACGACGCTGGCCAACGAAGCTAGTGATGTCATGGGAAGCAGTTGGAGACGTCCAACTGTGTACCTGCAGAAATCAAGTTGAACTGTTGAACAAGCTGTCTTGTTGCTGCACTGTTGTCGCAATCTGGAATCAATGTTGAGATTTACATGCATGTTTCAGGATTCAGTTCCTGCCGGATCATATAATGATCCATTCTTGTCTAGTGTGATTTCCATGGTGGCTCCGACATGGTGCCATGGAGCCATTTGAGGCAACCCTTTTCAGGGTGAGTGTCGACAGTCTTGAATTCTGAATTCACACATTTTAATTTGGTAATTCATCTAAGTAAATCGCAACAGTTTTCGGTTGTGCACCTTTTGCAAAGTCCCGCTTTTCCGGCTGTCCTTTATGAACCCAGTGGATTGCATCTCTGTTGAGTGAAGCCACTTCGAACTACCAGAAACCTCCTTTTTCGCAGCAGCCTTTACAGTCACATTACAAGAGACAGAACGCAGGCAGGTACACGATCTTTAGGTGCGGGTTTCTTTCTTTTGATGGTCTCTGGTGAGGTGAAACATATTGTGCACCTAATTCAATGGAACTTGATAGCCGTTTGATGCCATTGGGGCACGACTTGACCACGGGCCTGTTGTGGCACAATTGCACGAACAGTAGGTCTAGGAGCTGAGTCCTGTTTGTTAACTACTGGGTACCTGCTGTAAGTCGTGCCGCTTTGTTCTAAGTCGTCCCGTGATCGTGTGCCCATTGTGTTTTGTGTATATTTCATCATGCAACTCATTGGAGTCATCATGCAAAGGTTTGAAAATCGTGGTGTGCGCATGCAATTTGATTCAAGTTGCTTTTTTGGTTTGGCCATGCCATGGTTGAAGAACGGAAGGCAACCTTGAAGAGGGTGAAGCGTTTGTTAGACAAGGCAAGCACTTCAGATTTGCTGTGGGCTGAAGCATCCTTGCGGAATCGGCTTGGCAGGCAGGAGACAGGGGCGCCCAAGGTTAACAATCCAAGCGGCAGCTCTTTGGCAGGTCCTTGCAGTGTTTGTGGAGGACAGCGCCCTCCACATCCTGAAGCTGAGCCGTGGCACCTCAGGCAGAACTCCAAAGGCCAGCACTTGGCGAAGAGTGGCAGGTGCGCTTCGTGTGTCTGGAGCCTTCGTTCGCAGCAGTGTCGTTCTTTGTGGCCTCACTGGCAGTCCTTTAGGGACGGAACATGGCCACCGACCAAGGGTGTATAGTTCCAGAGCTTGCATATCTGGAAGTGCGATCATGGGCAGTGCATTTTCCTTCGAAGCGCCGGGAGCATCGCATTACATCAGTTCCGGGCCACTCCAAGGAGATTGCAGAGAAGTTGCTGCAACATTTGCGTGGGGTGAAAGGAGCTGAGACAATGTCTAAGGGAGAACTGAAGGCACTGTGTGAGAAGCGCAAGCAAGAGCTTCGCAGTGGAAAGCCGGCCTGTGGGGGAGAACAGGCTGCCGCTCCAGATGTTCCAGGGGAAGGTGCCCAACTAGTTGGCCACCACGGTGACATCGAAGATGACTCTGCTAGCGCAGTGGTGCTTTCCAAGGACCCTGGATCAACCACAACCACAACCACAACCACAACAGCAGCAACCATAACAACCACAACAGCCACAACAACCACAACAACCACGACAACAACAGCAACAACAGCAACAACAGCAACAACAGCAGCTCTCTTGATGCGTGTCTCTTTACAGGGAGTCTGGAACGGTGAGACCCAGACATGAGGCAAGCATCAAGATTCTCTGCTCTTGTTTCCTCTTGATACCTGTGCTCTTTCTTCTTTCTGCGATTTCTTTCTTGATGCGTGTCTCTTTACAGGGAGTCTGGAACGGTGAGACCCAGACATGAGGCAGGCATCAAGATTCTCTGCTCTTGCTTCCTCTTGATACCTGTGTTTTTTCTTCTTTCTGCGATTTCTGTCTTGATGCGTGTCTCTTTACAGGGAGTCTGGAACGGTGAGACCCAGACATGAGGCAGGCATCAAGATTCTCTGCTCTTGCTTCCTCTTGATACCTGTGTTTTTTCTTCTTTCTGCGATTTCTGTCTTGATGCGTGTCTCTTTACAGGGAGTCTGGAACGGTGAGACCCAGACATGAGGCAGGCATCAAGATTCTCTGCTCTTGCTTCCTCTTGATACCTGTGTTTTTTCTTCTTTCTGCGATTTCTGTCTTGATGCGTGTCTCTTTACAGGGAGTCTGGAACGGTGAGACCCAGACATGAGGCAGGCATCAAGATTCTCTGCTCTTGCTTCCTCTTGATACCTGTGCTTTTTCTTCTTTCTGCGAGTAAAAGAGAAACAATAAGCTAAATTCAAGACTACTTGACATGCGGCGTAGCAATAGGATCTACAAAAAAAAAGAAAAACATTTCTAAAATCAACTTTGCCTGGCATGCGGCGTACCAATAGGATCTACAAGTAAAAAGAAAAAACATCAACTGCTTGACATGCGGCGTACCAGTAAGATCTACATGTAAAAAAGGAAAAAATCAGTTGAAATCGGCATTGCTTGACATGCGGCGTACCAGTGGGATTTAGATACTTTTGCACTGACTTCCCGAATGCGCGGGGTACCAGTAGGATTTCAGGTGTCAAACGGACGTTGTACTGACTTTCCCGGGCGGGTGTAGCGTGTAGTGCAGCATGCCTGCAGCAGGAGAAGCAATGTCAAGACGAAACCACTTGCTTGCCTCCATTGCCGGCGCCAGAGTTGCCCCCACCTGAGGAGGCTCAATTCTTTCACCAAGCTTTTCTTTATCGAAGCCACAGTGCCCTGCAGATGATGACTACATTTTCAGAATTGCACAATCTTTGATGTTAATAATGCCGTAGTTAGTGGTAATGTGCAATGATCATGTGTGATTTGTTCAAAGGCCGGTAGCCGACCAAGTAGTGCATTTGTCAAAGACTAAAGGTGACGAAGATTTTTTGAAGCGAGAACCGTCCGTCAGGACATTGCCCGTGCGCCACTGCCTGATGACAAGGCCCCGGACGGCTTCGCCTGCATGGGTTGTCAAAGCCATTGCAGCCCAGAGTTACAATCTTGTCTGCCGCTGTGGTGCAAGACTTGCTTTGACATTGAGCTGGCCAAGCGAGTGGGTACTCTACCATCAGAGGACGAGTTCCCGGAAGCCAGTGCAAGAGCATGTAGATATCTACATATCTACACATGTTCCCCCTTGTATTTTCCTGTCTACATTTTCATATATAATTCTTTTTACGATTGTACATAAATGTATAGATAGACATGTCTATATATAGATAACATATCGTTATTGCGTAAATATGTTTCTATTAATATTTATGTATATATATATAAATATTATATATTTTGATTTTTATTTATATATATATGGTTTTTGTGTAAATACAGACAGAGACAAATACTGAAATAGCGACGCACGTCTTAGTTTATGCAGGATCCGACGAGAGACCATGCAGAGCCTTCGGAGGCTGCAAGCTCAGGCATGCAGGCAATGGCTGATGGTGCTCCGAGACTGCAAGATGATGTGGCTGAAGCTGACAAGGAGAGACTCTAGACTTTGCCATGTTTGCAAAGAGATGGAGTACCCAAACTGGTACAGTACCCAAACTGGTACAGTAGTTCGGCTGACATAGTCGCATCTCATGACCACATCCTTATAACACATTGGTTTCGTACCTCCTGTCAAAGAGTATACCATATGTTACTACATTGTCAGGAGACTTCAAGCGCTCCGTCTCACATTGCGGAACTCAAGATCGAAGTGACAGGCGAGTTAGCCCCTTTGCTTCACACACTAGCCGCCTGCGCAGAACAGAGTGCTGCTGACCCGTCTTCCCAAAGTCTTGCTTTGTCAGTGTGGTCGGGCAAACCTGCAACCGCATCTTGGTGCACATGGTTCCAAAAAGTGTGCTCATTGGCAGGAGAGCAAATGGATGGCTCTGTGTGTCGGGGGCGGGAAGCTCTAGACCGCTGGAAAGGCATGTCTGAGAAGGAGCGACAGCGTTGGAAAGATTTCTACATGGCCAAAGTGTCTTCTGATGAACCGCCGACAACCCCATCTAAGTCACAGCCTGTGGCGTCAGAGGCAAGTCCGGCCTCCACTGAGAAGCACCTGCGGGCTGCTGAGCCCAAGATGATGGAGGGATGCGGGCCCAGATTCCTTGACAGGGTTTCGGATGTGGAAGCCTTTGAGAAGCGATGGGGTTGGATGAAGCCGAAGATCGAATCTGCTCAATCCTCTTCGTTCTTTTTGTCCAACACGCAAGATTTGTGGCTTGTCTACCTAGATTTAGCACATCTGCTCTCCTTGGGTTGCTTCAAGGGCTATCCTGCCATTGCAGCTCGCGAGCTTCCGGCTTATCGGATCAACCGCAAAAAGCTGGCCCGAGTGCAGGCCTATGTCAAGGCACACAGTGAAGGCAAGAAGGATGGTGATCTGAACCATTTGCCAGCAGAATTTGCAGCAGGACCGGCGCTTGTCTGTATCATCGTTTGGGGCAGGGGGTTGCCAGAGGTCGCGCGGCCCTCGCGGAGGGTCGCGCGGCCCTCGCGCAGAGGCCTGTTCTTGAAGGCTACAATTGTCCAAGTTTTCATGTACCATTCGGGCCCTTATTTACATTTTTACGGTCTCCTCGCAGAGGCCGGCCCATATGAATAGACAAGAATTGATGTATATATCATCATTATTTCTTTAGCATCCCACGAGATTGTTGTTTTTGCGGTTTAACTCCTGTTATTTGAGATTGGCGCGGATGGACTCCAACACGGCCCTGCTGCCAGGACGCTTCGGGAATGGCATGTTGACTATCTCACAACGAGAAGATCTGGTGCGTCATGTCATGGCCTGCTGCCTGTCTGGTCGGCCCCTGACTGTTCAAGACATCAAGCGCTCCATGTTCAAATTTGTCTTGATCAACATGGAGGTTGTCGATGCTGCTGCTTCCGTGCCCTGGGAGGAATATGAAGCGTATTCCCAAAGCTTGGCTGGTGTTTACAGAGGCTGGAAGGCGTGGGTGGCTGCAAACTATGCAAAAGATTTCCATATCCAGCGCAGATGTTTGCAGGCCAAACCCCTAGAGCAAGTCACTTCGCTGACTCCAGCGGCCATCAACAGCTACTTTGATGTGTTAGAGCACGTTCTGAAGGAGGTGGGTTTGGTCAAAGATGGAGCGCTGACAGAGATGGCCAACCAGTGTGTGTGGAACGTAGACGAGAAGGGCTTGGAAGGCCTTAACAGTGGCAAGGTGAAGGGCAAGAAGGTAGTTATAACGAAAGGTTCTGGTCCTGCAGGGGCCATTGGTGTGCCCGAAGGCTCGTTCGGCCACATCACATTATTGCCTTTTGTGAGCCTGGGTGGCTTGGCTTTTTTGGTCGCTGCCGTATAGGGCGGCGATTTTGGCTGCATCCCTCATGTCCTGTCCTGTGTGTGTGTGTGTCTGTGTGTGTGTGTCTGTGTGTGTCTGTGTGTGTTGTGTGTGTCTGTGTGTTTTGTGTGTGTCTGTGTGTGTTGTGTGTGTGTGTGTCTTTCCCTGCCTCTCTTTCTCTCTCTCTCTCTCCCTCTTTCTCTTTCTCTTTCTCTCTCTTTGTGTCTCTCTCTCTTTCTTTCTCTCTCTTTCTCTTTCTCTTTCTCTTTCTCTTTCTCTTTCTCTTTCTCTCTCTCTCTCTATGTCTTGTGTGTCGTGTGTCGTGTGTCTTGTGTGTGTGTGTCCTGTGTTGCGTGTGTGTTTCCCTTTCTCTCTCTTTCTCACTCTCACTCACTCACTCTCTCTCTCTCTCCCTGTCTTTTTCTTTCTGTCTTTCTTTCTCTCTCCTTCTCCTTCTTTTGCCAAGCCGCTGCTGCCTACTCAGGTGGTCGCGCAGCACCGCCTGCCATCGTCGTGTCCGGCAACGTTTTCTCTCACCAGTGGGAGAAAGTTTGGCCGGAGGCTGCAGTGAGAGCTACCCCCAGAGGGCCTATGTCTTCGGAGCTTTTTTTGCAGTATGTCCTGAGATGGGAGAAGCATGTGCGAGACAATCTGGCCGTACCGCAGAACCAGGCATTGGTCTTGCTGCTAGACTCAGGAGGTGGGAACCTTTGCCATCTCAGTCCAGATTTCACTGTTGCTTGTGAAGCCCGCAACATTCGGCCAGTCTTTTTCCCACCGTACGGAACAGCTGCAGTTTGTTGCTTGGACCAAACACCCAACTGCCAATGTGAACTTGCATGGGAGAGAAGTCGGTGCTCTAGCGAGTCCCTGACGCAGCTCCAAGCCTTAGACATTGCGCATGAAGCTTGGGACGTGGCTTACACAGAGAAGTACATCTTGTCTGGATGGCGTGAGGTTGGCCTGGTGCCAGGCAAAGCAGTGAACAGGAGCAAGGTGTTGGGAGAAAGAGCCGACAAATTGTTTCGAAGCACCATCCCGCAGACAGAGCTCGTTCCAAAAACTCGCGCAGGCGAAGCTGTGCTGGAACGTCCGTGTGGCTACAAGCGCGCTCCTGCTCGTGCGCAATGTGCTTCTTGTGGCAGCCGCACCCCTACTTCTCTGCCGAGATGCGGCTACTGCGGGGAAAAGAATCAGGACTACGATGAGGTTGCCGATTCTGTTCAGAATGGATTGAAGCATGGCGGATATAGCAAGAAGCAGCCTGCTGTGTTCGATGTGGAGGCCGCTGTGAGTACAGTGGAGCCAGGTCAGAAAGCATCTTTGGCCCGCTGGTCAGGAGATTTAATGGGGGAGATGCGGCGTCGCAAAGCTGCAGCTGCTTGTGACGGGGAGCCTGCAGCAAAAAAGCCGGCAGTTGCAGCTGCGCCTGCCGTTCCCACAGAAGCAAAGCAACAGCATGAACCCAAGCCAGAAGCGGAGCCTGAGCCTGGTTCTGACACAGAGTTTGACCTAGACAGTGCGGACGGTGTAGCTTCCTACATTGCTGCCCATTTTGACGCAGAGCAGCAGCCTGAGATTTTGAAGATTGCGCACTTCTATGTCCAGTCCAAGTTGAAGCCACTGGTGCGAAAAGACGTTCCACTGTCACTAGTGTACAAAAAGGAAATGAAAGACATCCTTCAGTCGGCCAAAGGCCGGAAAGCTTGGGAATCCTCTTGGGCTCAGAACCGCAGACAGCGGTTTGTGAAGATGCCGGTGGTCAAAACTAAGTAACCTTTTTCACAAACAAACAAACAAGCAGGGGGTGAAAAATGCAGCTCCATGCTGACTGCGTGATTCCAATGTGCTTTTGATTTTACAAGCAGGGATATTAAGTCCATGCGGGTGATACTATTTCTCTCTTGGTGATGCTACTTGAACTGTATAACAGCAGAAGTGCTCTGAATGCAGTGTGCCAGTAGCAACTACACCAAAAAACTATTCCAAACCATGTGCAGGAAGAACATTTTTTGCAGTGTGCGCGCAGTGTGCGCGCAGTGTGCGCTTGATTTTCCTTTTTTTTGAAGAACCCAAAGAGCTCTTTGAATGTAGTGTGCCCATTGTTTTACAAGAAATGGGCTGACTTAATCCCCGTGGGGTGACTTAGAACGGGTGTACGTTGTTCCAAGCGGCGGGGCCTGCCGTGGGCTGACTTAAAACGAGGTGGGGTGACTTACGGCGCCCGCTCGTACTTGTTTTGGTTTTGTTCGTCATCAACTAGTCCCCCATTTGGTCCCTAATTCTCCCCGCGTGCCTCTCCGTAATGTGTCGTGGGGTTTTAGGTGTGTGCGCTGTTTTTGTCAGGTCCGTTTCGCCGTGTAGGTTGGTTCTGGAGGTCCGTCTGTTCCCCTCCCCCCCCTGCGCTGTTTTTGGCCGTTTGCCCTTCGTGTGTCCGCTTTTTTCTTCCTCTTGCCTTTCAGGGTTGACCCGGCTCCGGCCGGGTGTGTGTGTGTAACATCTGAATAGATGTAAAACTTCTTCTCTCTCTTTTTCTTCCTTTGTCCTCTCCCTTTCTAATTCTAAATTAAATTTAATGCAGGGGGCCAGCGCATGGCATCACGACGCTGGCCAACGAAGCTAGTGATGTCATGGGAAGCAGTTGGAGACGTCCAACTGTGTACCTGCAGAAATCAAGTTGAACTGTTGAACAAGCTGTCTTGTTGCTGCACTGTTGTCGCAATCTGGAATCAATGTTGAGATTTACATGCATGTTTCAGGATTCAGTTCCTGCCGGATCATATAATGATCCATTCTTGTCTAGTGTGTGTGATTTGGGTGTGTCGGAAATTAGGTGATGCCTTCAAGATTGCATTGTGCTGTAGCAGCTCAATTTTATTCCACCTTCACAGCTCGAAAATCACCTTTAGTTTTTTTTGATATGTTCGTCTGCAATTGTGGCAGTTGTACACCACCCAAACATGTTTGCTGTGGCAAGACCAAGGGTGGCAGACAGGTTTGTGGCCTCATCTGATGAGAGGTGATCTTAAGAGAAATGGCGAGCAATGGCGCTTCAAGTTCTGACCATGCTAGGCCATAATATGACCATACTGACTTTGGGGCGCCTTGGGCCCTTGTGCTTCTGCTACCCCAAGTTTCAGAACTGCCGCAGAGCCAGCAAGATACGGGATAAAGGTTTCAACTGTTTTCAAAGATGGCCAAGATCGAGGAAGCATTTGTGAATTTGCAACAGTGAAGTAAACCCAGAAATAAACCACCCCAAAATCTCCAGTGCTAGAACCATTCCCAAACGGTAGGTTTATTATTGGGTTTCCCACATCAATGTTTGCGGTTCTTCCCTTCAAGCTATAGTGTTCCTTTTCTTCGCTTCCAGGCAGTGTGTCATTGAGCCCATGGTGCGTCGTTTTAGGCAATATTGGGCCCGTTTTTCTTGTCCTTCTCTAGTGGGAACTCAACCACCATGTAGAGAATCTATAATTAGGGAATGTGTTGTATTTTGTTTGGGGGGCCCTTAAGAACAGCCAAATCATGGCCCTTTTGGCTGCCAGAATTTTATGCACCATCCAACGATGTACGCGCATGTGCGTACTACATTGTTTTATACATAAATGCATTAATAAAAGATTGTGTAAGTGTGCACATATGTGTATATGTATTTAAAATTATATAGCTGTACAATATAGATATATATATATATATACATATATATTTGAAATCTATGGAAATGTGTGCATACCTACATCTGTATGCATTTGCTTAAACAAAGTAGGCACACGACTCGACATGTTTCTTTAAGCGTGTCCTCCCAAATGATTCAAACGATTGATAGGATCCATGTTGAATTTTGCCACCTGAGGTCTGCATGCCTCAACTGCCACTTGTGCTTTTGGGTGCGGCACCAGGCCGGCAACTGATTGGCATGTCAAAAGAGTGCGTAGTTTGTGTTCATGTGTTTGCCACTGTTTCCCACCTCTTTTCATATTCATTCAACATCACTCTTGACATCATTCAAAACCTCCCACAAAGGTGACCCCCTCAATATCCTTCAATTATCAGTGGCCTTTTTTTCGGGCTTATTTATTAGCCATCAGAAACCGCTAGTTGAATCCCCATGGCCGAATACTGGACCCAGGAGGAGCAGCAGGTGGCGCGACGAGCGCAGGCCGGGGATGGCAGCTGAGCTTATCTTAGATGGATTTGAAGTGTAGGGTGTAGGTTGTGCTGCTGGACGGCATTAGTATACATTTACTTCATGTTACTTCATGTTCAGATTGGTTTCAATTGCGACTACAACGAGTGAGCGATTGGTTTTATTGAAACTGCTATGGGTAGATAAAGAACCCATATACGCAATCACATGCACAATATATATTTATATATTATGCCGAGGGAGAGAGAGAGAGATAGAGAGATAGATAGATAGATAGATAGAAAGACAGACAGACAGATAGATAGATAGATGGATAGATAGATGGACAGTTGGACAGTTGGATAGTTGGATAGATGGATAGATGGATAGATGTTGATGGGTGCGTGGGCCTCTTTGTCTGTGGGCTGCCAACACTGGTCCAGAACTATATATAAATTTCTTAGAACTATATATAAAATAGTCCAGAACTATATTTTTTTTTAAAAAAAATATATATATATAAATAAAATTCCCGGTGCTACATGTAAAACTCCCAGAGCCATATATATATATATATAATGTTCAAAACTACATCAAACAATGCAGAACTATATGCGATTTTGCCTTGTTTGTAGATGATTCATATGTTACTGAGGGCTATACTTTCAAACCCACCAAAGGGCCTCAAATGCAGACACTCTTGTGTGAGTTTATCCTAAATATGGCAACATTGAAATTTATCATGGTACTAACGGCGGTGTATGCCATGATTCAACGCTATAGTGAGCAAATGCAAATCATGTATATACTAAACATGGTTTGTTCATAAGACTCATAATTTTGAAATTCACGGCCTTATTTGCTCGTCAATGAAGTTATCAAAGAACAACTATATACAAACAACGAGGAAGTAGATCATTGATGAAGGCCTTGATTGAAGATATACAAACGGGCAAACATATCAAATCATTGTC